GTCTCCATTGTAGTTCCTCTTTGGGTTACCTTCTAGGATCCTTAATATATACGTGGTATAGGGCTTTGGGTTTGGCTTGAGTTTTTGGGTTTTGGGTTGAAGGCTTAGAGTTTGGGGTGGTTTGGGATTTTGGGAGTTTGGGGTGTGGGATTTAGGGTTCAGGGTTTTGGGCTGAGGGTTTGGGGATATTGGGTTTTGGGCTTTGGGTTATGGGCTTTGGGTTGTGGTTCTGGGTTTAGCGGAAGCTTCCTTGTGCCGCATACTGTCTGCTGCAAGACTAGCCGGCGCGCGACCCGCCGGAAATTGGCCACCTGAACCCCAAATCCTGCGCCCTCAACCCTAGACCCTAAACCCTACATAAGCCTAAACCGGCCTAAACCCTACACTCTCAACGGTTTAGGCTTTAGGGTTTGGGGTTCTGCACCCATCTCTCCGGCTGGTCACGACTGAGGGGAGAGCCATGGCACTCACCCAGCTCGCCAGCCGATCGCCTTAGCCAAGAGCCACAAAAAAAAAGGCGGGTGTGGGTTTCGGCTTTAGGGTTTGAAGGGGAGCTAGATCTTCACTCAAAGGGTTTAGAGTTTAGAGTTTAGGGTTTAGGGGTTTTAAAGGTGAGGTGAGAGACTGTGGATGATCTTAAATCCTGCATTATATTATGTTAAGGACCCTAAACTATGTGAATTATGGTGTAACCGACACTTCCTTAAAGGAAACTACAGGTAGGGAGTTTAGGGCCTATAGGGCTTCCATAAGGCTTCTCTAAGGTATATATAGACCTTCTATAAGGCTCCTACAACGGTAACTACCCACCTGAAAACGTCCTAGACTTCTGTGCGCTTAGATCGCTAGACCAGAAAGGCCTAAACTCCCCCAACAGAGCGAAACCCATTTGGAAACCCCATAAGGTCCTAAACTCCTCAAATCCCAAGACACTCAACCCTAAACCCCTAAGCCCCTAAACCCTATAAATCCTATAGATCCTATAAACCCTGAACCCTAAGCTCCTAAACCCTGTAAACCCTAAGCCCTATAAACCCTAAACCCTAAAACCCTAAACCCCTAAGCCCCTAAACCCTAAACCCT